TTTTTTTTTTTTTTGCTCGCTGCTATCTGCGGCTCGCCGCTGACATCTCCGCCAAACAATTGAGAATTGCATTGTTCTGTATAAGATTGTGCCAAACGTCGAGCTATGGCAGAGCTGCACCTGTATCGTGGCAAAGTCGTTGTGGAGCCGCTGCTGAGCCGCTGCTTGAGTCTGCAGCTCAGTGTCGCCAAATCGCGATCCTCGGTGCTCGCTTGTGCACCTGGCCCTGTCAGACCGAGGCGCGTGCAGAGCGGCGCGAACCCTGACACTCTGCCACCACAGAAGCTGCACCACACTTTGCGATTCCGTGCTCTTTTGTCACTCTGACTCGGTCTGACACAATGACGTTGGGGCGCCCCTCACGGGACGGCCGGAAAGAAGCTTCGCCTGCACTCCGATTCTCCGCTCATCATCCCGGCGAGGGACAACACGCGCTGTTCGAGAACACCTCCCGTGGCTGATGAGTGCAATGCAAAGTGAGCGCATGTGCGCTCATCACCGGGGCGGATGGCTGCAGCCGCCTGCCGGCAATCGGCCATCGAGAGCGGCATCTGAGCGCGTGGCTCCGCCTTCATAAGCTCGAGCCACAGCGTCACGCACACGATCAAGCAAGCAGATTGGCTGTATGCATCTTGTTGAGTAGCTTTCAGAAGCTTCCATCCGACAGTGCTGGAGCGATGTAAAACAGCATAGAGGAACAGTGTCAGCGACATGAACGCCGACATTCCAGTCGAGCTACACGCTCGGCAGGCATACTCACAGTATTGGTCGTGCTCGTCGAGGTCAGAATCGTCATCGTCGTAGTCAAAGTCGACCTCGTCTGCGTCCGGCAGCTCCTGTTCGGGGTAGTCGTTCCTGTAGAAACCTTCGTCGTTGCTGTCCTCGTCTTCGCCCTCGTCGAAGCTCTCGAAACCTTCTTCGTCGGCCTGCTCCAGCTCATCGTCGCTGTCGACAAACCCTTCTAGATGCGCAATCACCGCGTTGGGACCGGCAAAGTCCAGACCTGGGAACGCAACAGCCGGGGCAGCCGACTCGGGAGGCACTACTTCGCCGCCAAGCACTCTGGGCAGAGCCATCGAGTCGGGCACCGCCCCATACGCGGCTGATGCACCCTTCTCGCGTCCTGCGACCTGGGCCGGTTGAAGGCCCGTCTCGGCAGAACCCTGCGGACCTGCCTTGGTGGGTAGCATGTCGCGATAGTAGACGTCGTACACGTAGTCTTCCTCGTCTCCATCCTCATCATCTAGCCCGGGCGAAGGGACGATGCTTCCCGGGACAGCAGCATCAGCTTGTGAAGTTCCTTGGACCATCTGATCAAGGTCTTGCGCCGGCTCCATGTTGTTGGATCGAAGGTAGTCACCCAGCATCTCGGCAAACTTGGCGTCGAGGCCCTCCATCTCGGCGTCCGGCTGGGCAGCTTTGCTCTGCTTGCCCCTTGGCGCTTTTGGGGCAGATGAAGATGCTGCCGGGCCGCTGGACTCGGTTTCGGCATCGAGGATCCTGCCAAAGATGGCTTCGGCTTCTTTCTCCTTCCTGGATCGAATCTCTGGCGGTCTTGCGCTCGTGTGCCATGGCGAGCTCTGTAGCGCACCGCTGCGCATCTTTCTGAGGCTTGCCGAGCTTCCAGACCTGCGGAGCCCCTTGCCTGCCGAATCCTTCATCACGACCCTGAAGCGCATTCCGACAGGCGTGCTGCTTCGGGAGCGGCGCTCTTTGTCGCGATCGATCTGCTCGGACGCCAACGCTTTGACCCTTTCGGCCGGCGTTGCTGACGTCGATGCATCCGCGGACTTGAGGAGCGAAGGAACCGAGTTGGCCAAGGAGCGCTGCGTTCGTGAGGCCCCAGCGATGTTGTCCGAGGCAACCGCGGTGGAAGTTGCAGAGGCTTGTCGGAGGCTGTGCTGCATGGTCTGGGTGAGCGAGGGCGACGAGACGCTCTGGGACAGCTTGGAAGGATGCAGGGGTTTGGTGCTTGGGCCGGCTGGAGAGCCTCTGCTCAGTGCAGAGATGCGCTGGTGGAGCTTGCGGGCCGCGATGGGATCTGAAAACGATTGCAACGACACCGTCTCTGCCAGCCGAAACACACCGCGCTGCTTGCTCTGCGATGCTTCCGACGGTTCAGCAGAGCCGTGCCGAGATGATGTTGGCGCTTCATTCGTCGTATCAGGGAAGACCATGGACCTGCGTTTGCTCCTGCGCTCGTTCTGGTTGATAATGAGGGCCTCGACGGGATCCTGGTTGCGCTTGCGCTTGATTCGCAGGATCATCTGCACGCCCTGCGAGTCGTTGTCGCTCTCCTGCGTCTCCTGCCCATGCTGAGACGCGGATGCGCTCGATGGAGCCGGACTCGCCGATGTGTGGCGCGACATGTTCAACGGCGTCGACGCTGGCGATGAGCGGGCCGAGTGGGGCGCCGACGTGTGGAGGGCCGACATGGTGGAGGTGTTTCACGCAACGGCCAATTCGGCGAGCGGCTGCATAAAGAGTCGTGGGATTGAGCTGACTCGCTACGAGACGAGAAAGACAGCTGGGCCGTCTTTGAAGGTGATGGATGCCGCCGTCGTGTGTAGAAAGGCTGGGTCCGGGCCCATTGCCACTTGTACCGAGACCCTGAAGTAGGTCCATCACGTCCGTGCTGCCCTCCAACTTTTTGCTCCACAAGGCTTAGTCACGCGGACAGGTTCAATCGAAAACTCGCTGTGAAGCATGCAGGCCTAACATTCGCAAAACGCCGCATCAGCCTGCAGGTCGATTAGAGTTCTACGAAGCGACATGTCTCACCAACCGGCGGCGGCCAGGCCATCGACTGCAAGCGCCACGATGAAGAATGCGTCGTTGACCAACCTTCTAGAGGTAGCTGAGCCATTGACAGCTTGCCTCTTCTGTAGACGAGGAAGGGAGGTCAATTCTTGCTTGAGCGGTCGTTGGCGATTGGCAAGGCGGCGAGAGTCACTTGGGTCGCCCGCATGGTGGCTGGGAGGCGCACATAGCCTATGCGGCTTTCCTGTCCTTGGTGTGCAGCACCTCTCAAAGGTTGACCAGGCAAGAAAAGCGCCAGCCGTCAGTTACAGCAGAGCGTGGGATCGAAAGTGGATGGTCGGATCGTCCGAGCGGGGCTCTTGAAACGCTTGATAGAGCCTTAATTTCGCTGCAGCATGGCGGTGCATGCGAGCAGCGCACAGCAAAATTTACAGCACAGCACAGTGCCTCGCAGCCCCGCGTCACAAGACTGAGCTTGGCCTGGGAGCATAGTGTGGAGAGAGCACGCGCCTGAGACCAACACCACACCGCCGCACCGCCTGACTCTTGTCAAGTTGACGCCGAGCCCGCAGAAGCTGGCTTTGATTTTGGACACGACGCTTCCGGCACATCCGCGTCCTTTCATCCTGACTATCACATCACATCTCCCACCCTCGAAGCAGCTTCAGCACACATCCACTTCGAGCTCCTGCTGGCTGGCTCAGCATAGATCTTCTACTCTCAGCGCGCCCTACGTCGGCCCGTTCCGTCCCGCTCTGCGCAGGCAAACCCAGCCATGAGTCGATACCACGCAGATGCAGCGCAGCATAGCTACCACAGCTCCGCCTGGGATCCGTCACCGTACGGAACCACCGATTACGATGCTGTCGAGCACCTCGCTTCCTCCCATAACGAGTCTCCGCCCAAACGCAACTCGGCTGGCGTAGGTGCCAATGCAAACGCCTATCGTCTCGCCCCTCCCGCCACGCAGATTGGCGCTGACTCTCCATCCATGTATACCGACCCTTACGAAGCCTTCAGCACCGCCCCACCGCCGGACCGTCGCTCCTATCTTCACCATGATCCCTACGACGCGAACGACCGCGCGCTCGCCGGCCCATCTTTCCTCGATCGAGCCGACACGCTTGCACCGGGCGATAGCATCAGCAGCTACAACGTGCGCGTTGGCAGGAATACCGAGCCAGATCGCGCGCCGACAGCGTATGTGGATCCGCATCAACAGCCAGTGCACCACGCGCATCATGCGTCTCACATGTCCGGGCCCACCGCGTACGACAACTACGACGATGCCGCCAACTTCTACGGCCACGACTCGGCACACGGCTACGGACACGCCCAGTACGACACGAGCGGCACCGACCTCCCGCTCAAGGCGCACGCCGGCGCCATGGGCTATGCCGAGGACGAGCACGACGAGGCCAAGCAGATCCGGCGCGGCTCGGCGGCGCTCTGGTCCAACCAGATGGACGCCGCCCACCACCCGGCCGTGGCCGACGAAGAGGCCAAGAGCGGCCTGCTCGGCAAGCTCTCCCGGTCTGCCGGCGGCGGGCCTGCGGGCGAGGACAAGCTGCACGACCAGATCGAGCGGCGTCGGCAGGGCATCGGGCGACA